GAGAGGTCTTCAGAAAACCGTCTATAACTCTGAGACTAAAAGTCCGGAGAAGATGAAAATTTGGATTCATAGGTTTCCACATATGCTGAATATGATGAGACTACTTTGAAAAGAATCTGAGGCATTCATTGAGCATGACTTGTTGTGGTTCTCGTGCAATGGCTCCTAGGGTTCGAAGATTTGTTTCTCGCACGTGGTACTTAGCATACTAATGTTTCTTTCGATGCTATCTTCTAATTTTAGATTATACATTTCTGTCGAGCAAACCCTGCGATTTGTGTCAGTTGTGTTTGCTTCGTTTAATAGCTTAGATCATCATTTGATATAATATCATTCCATCACCGATCAGTGAAAGGTTCGGCTCGCCTCTCTTATATACAATAAGAAAGCACTGTTTTTTTCCTCGATTAGTTTACAATTTTAAGTGAATCGATGGTAGTCTAGAAAGCTACAGCTACTACTGCATTAGTGACTGAAATAAGCGTGGCTATTCCTGTGGAAGTCTTTTGAGGCTGTCTTTGATCAAGCGTAAAAGACGTGATGATCTCCATTTCATCTTCACATTTTGTATTTTAATTTAGTTCAAAACTTATTATTACACTTATTTGACGATTATTCTACTCAGACTGATTTAATTGATATTAAACACACTGGTTGTCATCTGGTCACCGTCGTTAACATATGACACCAATAACAGTTAAGTCAAAATAACGCCTTTTAATCTTTCTTTTTGTGACTTTTGAGAATACCTCACTTAGTAGACAGATGTACGGTCTATAATAACCGCGTAAACGGAAGTGAAGCTTTTCTCCGGCATGTACGTATGTGTCACGGCACTAGCAGAAATTTCAGAACAATATGTCCACTTTGTGATTCGAATTTCTTATTTACTAATATTCGCTCTTTTCTGAGACACTTTTAAAAAAAACATCCAGCGGAAGAAACTGTCAACGACGTAGAAGATATCTTAAATGATGTTCAGAACCTTGTATAATATGTAAAATATGTTTATCACCATGCTTACTACTTTAATACAGAAAGAATTCTACAACGCATCTATTTCTAGCCAACACAAAAACGTTGAATTCCTTAAATGCTTTTCTACATTTTTTTGACACCTGAACTATGTGTGCGATATATTTAGATATTGGAATACCGCTAGCAGCTTCAACAACTTCAATAATTACTCGACAATTTCAATTTAATACCACAACAGCCATAAAAACAAGAATGTCATCATTAATCACATTCACAAATGGGATTTTAGCTCTCAAGTATAATAGTTCTTTCTCATGTTTATCATGCGGAATGTTCGCCTAACACTGTAGTTCAACATTGACAAACACTTACATTATAAGGTCCTGTTTTCTAAAAAGTGATCCTTTTAGTTTTTAAGATATTTGGCTCTCATTAAATCGATTTAGAGCCAACAAGTTAGAAAACACTAATCGTTTCACGAAAGCAGCATCCATATTTTATTTAATTAAAATTAAATTAAATTAACATAAAATTACTCGACGTTTCGACTTTTATTAACAGTCTACGCTCTATATTATCTCGATCCACAATACGCCAGTTGTCCCAGTCTATTTTATGAAAAGAATCATGCGCATGTTTTTCAAGAGCCGAGTTATCTGTAGATGAAATCACATCATAGTCGTCTTCTCCATTATTCAAAACATACCAATCAGGGAGATTCATGCTCTTTGTTTGATCCGTTATCCTTTTTGAGGCTTCCGTTTTAGCTGTTCTTGATAAATGAATCCTTCCCGATTGAACTACTGGTATTCCATTATTTTGGGCAACGGAAGGTGAAAATACGGCAGGTTTTTCAAGCCCATGTTCTCAAAATCGTCTACATGCTTGTCGGATCGTTTTACCAGCATAACGTGAATTACAGTCTTGACATTTTATACCATACGCTAAGTTCGATTGTAAAGCCAGAGGTGTTTTATCCTTAAAGTTGACAAATTTCAAAAATTCAAAATTCCACGTTTTTCGGGGCTTTTCGTAGATCTTCAATATTCTCAGCAACGAAAATTATCGATGCAATTTTTCGATTTGCGCTTTTTACCAAAATTCATTAAAATGTTTGGTCTACAGGAGCCCTCTAGTCTGAAAAAGTTTTGAGAACATCGATTGAAGGCTATTCCACTGTGATAGGTCATGACTTACATGCACGGCTCTTTAGAAAAAACTGTTTCGGTCAGGAGAAAGTTCGGGCGGCTAGGGTATGCGCATTGAAGTAAGTGCCGAAAGCGCGCAGCGAGATAAGCATTATGTAAATTATTGCATAATGGTTCTTGTATTATCAGGCTCTTAGCTTTGTGATTTCCCATGCATTTCTGCCAGTCTCTTCGGTTTTCCTTAATTTCCATTCAGAATCTCTAGTTTTCTTTGGTCTAATTACATTTTCCTTCGGCTTCCTCGAAGGCTATCAGTAGTTTTCTAAGCGTAGGTGCATACAAACGAAAAATACACATGGGCATATTTTAGTCCCGGTACCCGGGACTTACGTCCTGTACAAGTTATTAGCGGACATACAAACACACACATCAAGACATAATACGAGAGTGATTCGGAATAAGAATTAAAGACTTGGAAATGTGCCTCATCTATCTGTTGCCTTGCAAGGACAACGATGATCGTCAGAACTGTAGTAGTACTTGCTTGCTACTGTTTGTTGAGAATGTTCTTCAGAAAGTAATACGATCAAGAAAGATAATTATTTTATTCTATAGAAACAACCTGATATTGGTGATTCCTTTTCAATCAAGGGACAAGTGAATCAGAATGATGAACGCTACTATATTGGCTTGAGATTTGAAGATATTTTTGAGGTTTTGTACCACATACTCTGTTTTATGTTCTAGATTTTACAAAATATGTTTTTTTCTCTTATGAATAATGTCTATTCCTCTCTCACTGTCACAAAAAATGTATTTTCTTCTCTCTTTTCATGTTTTTTAATCATATTCGTTCTAACTTTACATCGCGTTAAACGTCTCTATTATCTTGAAAATAAAAATTACAATTTTCAAAACGTCGGCCTTATTTTAATAAAAAAATTTTTAATTTTAATTCAATAAATCAAAATCTAAAAGCAGCTGCTGTTACTATTTTATCAATTCCTAGATGTTTTTCTGAATTGCTTTTTGCTATTCGATAGGGCTTGTCATTATCATTTTTGATAATACGCAAAGATGCACAATAAAGATAAAGATATTGAACTTATTCAGTTTCCAGTGACATTAACCCAGCAAACAAAAATACCACCGCAACAATATGTACAAGCACAAGTTTCAGTTGGGATCTCAGCCGCCATAGTAGCATTCAAACCATTCCACAATTTTAACCAACAGTTTTTTATTACCACTCCGAATTCGTTGTTAAACGTTAAACAACATACAGCAACCGTCTCTATTTACAAGCCGTCATCACACTATCTTCGTTTTATACCGAAAGGGAAAATTCTTGGTCAATCAACCATATTTCCAGACACAAACAAGACCACCCAATTGATTAATTTAGTCATCAACATTGACTTAGATAATACAACACCATGAAATCATATTAAAAAGCTGATACAACATGTTGACATTATTGAACAAAGGAAACAACTACGGATCAAGGTTCGCACTTCATCTCTGAATTAACCAATGCCATCGTCAAACAATGTAATACAACTCACATTTTATCAACTTCATATCATTCGATGACAAATGGTCAGACAGAACGATTCAATGCAACTTTTAGTCCCGCTTTAGCAAAATGATGGGAAGAAGAAGCAAACAATTGGGATGACTTTGTACCAGCATATGTTTATGCATATAACACAGGTGAAGACGCAACGACTGGTTATTCACCATTCCAGTTAATGTTCGGAAGAGAGCCTCGTCTACCAATTGACACAAAACAAGCAAAAATCAGTCTCTCTAAGCCGAACAATTATTACAAATTAATCCAGAAGGAAAATTTTGCAAAAATGTGCAAAAGCTAATATGGAATATCAAAATCAACTGACAAAGAAACGATTTGATCAAAATAGGCCTGATCCGAACTATTCCGTTGATCAGCTTGTTTTGGTGCAAGTTCTTGACAAGAAATCAAAACTCCAGTCCTTTGAGCAAAAACGTTCCGTAACGTTTATAGTAAAACTGGAGGAGTCAGGTCACGATAGTAACCCAGAATACACAAAACAAGTTACAACGCCCGATTTAGCAGCGGTGTATATCCGGATAATTTAACTTATTTGTTATTAATTCATACTTAATACAATACAAACTATCATTCAGTTTATGTCTCTGTTTATTCCGGCCTGTTAAAATGTTACCAAGTTTAAAAAGCGTTGTTGGTCGAAGCGACTCTGTCTGACTAAGCGAAAGATCCACAGAACTTTTTCTCCTGATAACCTAGAAATTTTTTAATTTATTATATTCCGAGTATAATTTAACTGAAAACTTTTGGTATATATATATATACGTTAACAGACTGACTTTGTGTCATAAATAATACAAAACGCCTGAATGAATTTCAACTAATTGCCGAGTTATCTTACGCGAATAGCTTGAGCACTTTTTTGCAGAAAATTTAGTTTTCTACTTATAACTATCATGTTTGTTTCTTTTCCTATTATAAATAATATAAGTTCAATATGGCTGATCGTTTCGTTCGTGATACTAACAACTCGCAACATTCGATGTTCCTCGTTCTTGCTATTCAATCAATTTTATTGATTCCCACACAGAAATGTCAACACTCCAGTCATTAATCGCAGAATTCAGACTTGTACATTGTTATACAATAGATACCGAAACCGACTTCAGATCCGGAAAACCGGCCCTTATACAAATTGAAGCAATAAAAACATCGGAAAAATCAATTGTATTATTAAATAAAACAACATATCTGCCGGACCCATTAACTGAAGCACATGAATTAATTAAACAATTATTTACAATTATATTTGATCCTGGCAATGAATTTTATAGCTGGGATGCCATTAAGGATCCTTGTCGCAAATTAAGGATCATTAAGGACCATTAAGGATCATTGTCGCAATCCTTCGTTCATTTACAATTATTTCGGTTGCGCGATATACGTCAAAAAGTCAGTGTACAAAAAGTTTTCAAGCAATGGTATAATGGGCGCATCCGCATCGTGCGGATTGTTGCTATTTCGACTTACCATTACAAGAAGAAGATGTATTAACTCTCAATACTCCGGATGACGATTTATTACTTAATCTTAAATCCGAACTCGATCATCCCGACTGTTCGTGTCCTCATCGACTTTATAAGAATTCTACGGATCAATGGTCTCTACAAAAAGAGATCGCAATAATATTTGGACGCTGTCAATGCTGTCAAATTGATCATGTGACCTCAATTTTCGTCCCTTAACCTGGAAATCAACCAACTTAGTTGGTGAAAAAAGAACACATTATCACAATCAACAAAAACAACTACGCCAAACATTAATCAAATACGCCGTCAATGATTGTTTAGCTGTAACTTTATTGCTATCGTACATTCGACAAGATCAAGAATTAAAATTAAACCATCGTAAAACAACAATGACCATAAAAGAACATCATCAACAACAAGATGCATTTAATCAACCAAATATACAAGTAAATTTGGCAGATTCAACCGAATTTACAAATGATCAACAGCAGTATGAATACAATCAATACATTATGGATGAAAGTCCAACAGATTTAGCTGAACAACTAAATGAACAACCAATTATGTATGATACTATATTAGCATCAGAAGACGTGAGTCCAACTGATATACCAGAACAACAGCCAGTTCGACAACCACGACCATACAACAGAAATACTTATAGATCAGCATATGCCAGACATAAACGAAATCGTAAACGTCACAGAAAATCAAATCAGATCCGATCACAATTCAACATTCAACGAAGTTGTTATCGAATATTTAGTATATCAATGATCAAAACTATTCTGAAGGACTATGGTATACCATATGAAAAAGTAATCATTGATGGTGGAAATGCAACAATTACACTTAAAAATCAACAACAACATCAATTACGTACGCGCACATTACCTCATGACGTTTTCGACATACAACATTATTATCAATTTATCAACATATTTTAATTCGCCGTTTTGGTTTTTTTTCTTTTGCGTTTTTCTTCAGACATTTCCTTATGATTGTTTTGTTTTGTTTAACTCTCTACATTTCTTTACATGTATTAACTCAGTGTTTGTTTTGCCTTTGTTTTCTCCTCTTATATAGTTTGCATTCATAGAGTTACGGGCATCCGTCTACACGGTTAGCTTCATTTCAAGATGGGTGTTGCCATCTTCTGCAAGGGGGGAGGTGTTATGATCTACTCCCAATGACATCTTCAGCAGATCATAACTTTTATTTCTTTTATTCTTTCTCCTTTCAGTAGTATTGTCCACTATACACCAGACATGTTGCACAATATTTCCTATTAGTCAACTTATCGCCTCATTCAGATTTTGTCCTCTTTCACTATCTGCCTAAATTTCTTTTTTCATCCGCTCTCTCGTCACTTCTTAACTTTATCATCTACTATCAACACGTTTTTTGTTATCATTGTTCACTTATATTCATTTTAAACTTTAACAATAAAAGCATATGTTCTAAAATTCGTAGTAAAAGGTTAACTAGTCAAACAACTGAAGGTAAGAAGTTTTGTTAGTCTTTCTCGACTCCACCCGGGACCAAGGTATCCTGAGTTGGATCCGAACGTACGGATGCCAGCGTACCGATCAAGAGAAGAAAAGTATTGAGAAAGCTAACAATCAAATAATCAACTTTACCGCATTACGAAGATTTTTTTCTTTTCAACGAAAGGGAACCGATTCACTAGAAATTTTCTTCGTTTTCTCACAAGTTAACTAATTAAAATAGCTTTAATTGAAAAGGCACCCATTCTCCAGTTTTTAACGACTGTAAAGTAGTCGACTCAGACTTTAAGATAGATTATTTTTCCAAAAAGGATACTGCCTAGTTTTTGAGCTATCTGGTTCACAATATGATTGCTTGACAAAGACAAAGCACTTTTTTCTTATCGAAGATAATATTCACTTAAACAAATTAAAGATTAACGGGGAAGTTCTGGAAGAAGTTTGTTCAACTAAGATGGCTTTTCGGCTTTCTCTTTGGATCATGGTAGACAAGTCTTTGAAATCAATTGCTCGCTAGCAGAGTTAAATGGAAAAGCTAAGTTCATTTGAGCAGAGTTCATGTATCATTATATGTGAAACGTTCTATTTAAATTAGGCATTTTAAGCTCGATATTTTCCTTTCAGTCTTGCTGTTTCTTTCGCCTTACCATATCCTGTTTTTTCTAACACCTTAGTTCAAATGAGGACTTCAAACATGTTGCTTTGTTTTTTTTGTCTCAATTTCGTCGATTTTATTATCTTATTTATGCTAGTTGTAAAAGATATAAGAAAGTTCCCGTTTTAATGTGAACGAAATGAAAAAGAATGTATTTTCTATTTTAGCGTGAATTTCGTTTTCTATCTTTTTCGATCTCACTGTGAGTTTAACGCATAATCCGTCAACTTGATTAATTAATATCGCATTAAGTCGAGAGTACTTACTTGACCTTTTTACTCTAACTTCCAGTGCACAAGTTGCACATTATGCTCAACTATTTTGCAAAATACAATCGCCTGAATTTGTGGAGATATCGAACCGTCACTATTACTGCTTAACACATAAAAAAAGTAATTTTTTCTGTTTTTACATTGAATTACATACATAATCCAACTTTAGTAATGGTAATCATCAGAATCAATTTGTCTTGTAATTGTATCATCGCATACGTACGTTTATGTTATGGTCAAACTTAGAATTCGGCCAGATTTCGAATTTGGTCGACCAAAACTGGAATTCTAACTCTAACTGGCCAAATTCAGAGTCTGACCAGCCAAAAGTTGAATTAATTTTGGTCAGGTCAAAATCGAAATTTAGAATTATTATTATTAGATAATATTATATTAATTATTAATTCAACATAGTTCTTTATATTTACAATTTCTTCCCTATCTTAGCGTATATAGTCTTTTCTTTGTCTACATTTGTCTTGGCTTGCTGATTATTGTACAACAAATCACGGATCATACTCGAGGCAAGGAATCTATACTGTATGTCATCGGAATATACCACTATTATATTAAATAGTCCAAAAAGGTCGACCCTTTGTAACAGAAAAAAGATTTTGAATATTGAGATGTTTTTTACGTTATTTTGATACAGTAGAATGATAAGCACGTAAAAATGATTACTTGACATTACTATTTATAATAAAATGGAAGAAAGAGAGAGAAACGTAAAGAAAGTATTTGCGAACTTTTAACAAAAGAGTATAATAGAGTGAATAGTACGAACTCTGAAAGAAAAAGTAGTCCTACCACAGGCATCTTTCCTTCGATCTTTTGTGAGACCGGCTGCTTATATGTAGAAAGGCGACTTCATATAAATAGAACGAGTTATGTCATATTGAATATAAAGAAGAAGTTAACATCAGTACGTACACTTAACTTTTTCAATCTTTATCTACCAACCAAATTTGACTTGTTTTGTTCTTAATTTACAATGAATGCTGCCTCCGTAACCACTGTTGTCGAATGATTCTGAAAAACGTTTTTTTGATGATGTTATTAACATATCAGTTCTTTACATGGAAAATATCACGATAAAACCGTTATTAAAAATGATACTTATGATAAAATATTAGTTCTCCAAAATTTATTTTTTGGTGTTGTTGTAATTTTCTTTTATCAAAAGTGGCTGGTATTAATGGAGTTTATTGTGTTAAGAGTAAAAAATCAGTATGCTTGTACGAATCTTTTTATACTGTCGTGAGTGAATGTCCGCAAAATATATCACATAGTGGAAGACATAAAATGCTTGCTGAGATTACTTCTCAATATTCTTGGATTCCAAAGTTTATTACTGAAATTTTTCCAAAACATTGTTTTGCTTGTAAGTACGTAAACCAGTTAAGCAGCATGTTGTTTCCAAACCGATTATTTCATTTTGGGTGTTATGACCAGATTGCAAATTGATTTGATTGATATGAGAACATGTCCAGATGTTGCTTCGAATGATGGTGTATACCAATGGGTTTTGAATTATATTGATCATTTTTCGAAATTCAGTTGGACGTATCCACTAGAAAATAAATCGGCCGCTGAAGTGGCTAAATGTTTGAGAGAATTATTTGACGTTTTTGGACCTCCACGTTTATTGCATTTTGATAATGGTCGGAGGTTTGTTGCTAATGTTATCCAAGAACTGAAAGCATTGTTTCCAGGTATGTGTTTTGTCAGAAGTCGAGCACGCAATCCGCAGTCACATGGTTGTGTGGAGAGAGCTAATGGTGTATTGACTGATGCATTAGGTAAATGGTTGGCATCAACGAATTCGCTACATTTGTCAGAAGGTCATGCATCGGTCGTTTATGGGATTATAATACAAGAGTTGCACCAAAATGTACACCTCATGAGGTGATGTTCGGACAAAGTTTAGCTGAAACACTCAGTGTAGGCGATTGTGTTAGTATCAGTATTCATCATGTTGACAGAACCAATACAAATCCCAAACTTTTACCATGTTTGATATTTTCAAAAAAGAAAAAAAGGAGATTACATTGCTTTTCAACTAGCTTGTGAGTTTGGGAAACTGGTTTCATCATTTACAGTCGAAAGTTTGGTTTCATCGAAACGTGTATGACCATCTAAATTGGAAGCTGTTGATATTGCTGTATTGAAAAATATAACATTGATTGAAGCTTGTAAACTATTTGTACGCGGATCAGTGAGTGGTGCGACGTGTGATTGTAAATCTAAATGTGCAACGAAGCATTGTGCTTACAAAAAAACTAATGTTAAGTGTGCTGCAAAATGTCATTCAAAACGACCTGGTGGTTGCAAAAAATATTAAATAAATAGACAGAAAATTGATGAAAAAATTTTAAGACATAAAATATTTGTACATAGAGAAGCAAAGATACTATCTATATTGAAGAAAGGTCATTTGTTTTGTACATTAAAAAGAACTTGAATTATACTTGTATATACTATCCATTTCCATGAACAATGCACTCGGCTATAAGTTGAATAACTCCCGAATGAAAGCAGCTATAGACTTGTGGTTTTCAACATTCGAAAGAGAATAATATTTTTTTATATGGAAATATCAAATCGGATTGGTCAACAATTGACCAATCAGGATAATTCTTGATGAACATTTTAAGAAGACAAAGGCATTTACCATTCGATCAGGGATTTTGACGTGACCATTCGATAGTGAAAACTATTCTCTTTCCATTTGCATCAGACCGAGCCCACTCATAAAAATGAGAATGATCAGGTGAAGCTCAAATATATGTCATTCGACGCAGTTTTGCATGATGATTCCAAATATACACGCTGTTCGGCGATTTGACTTCGATGAAGAGTCGAAAAATCGCGAAAATCACCGAAAATGTCGCTTTGGGGCTCTCTCAAAAATGCTTATTACTCCTGAACGAAATATGCTAGTGGGCTCGGTCGGATGCAAATGGAAAGAGAATAGTTTTCACTATCGAATGGTCACGTCAAAATCCCAAATCGAATGATAAATGCGTTTGTAATAGTCTTCTTGAAATGTTCATCGAGAATTATCCTGACTGGTCAATTGTCGACTAATCCGATTTGATATTTCCATATAAAAAATATTATCCTCTTTCGAATGTTGAAAACCGCAAGTCTCTAGCTGCTTTCATTCGGGAGTTATTCAACTTACAACCGAGTGCATTGTTCATTGAAATGGAGATAGTAATATGCTTTGCATTTACTTTACTTTGTTATTTACTAATACACTACTAACCCAGTGGAGGAACACAAAAGCTAAAAAAACATCCCTAAAGCCCATCATATGTAGGGCAGTGTTTATTTGTGATTCTTAACTCGATAAACCTGTTCCATGAACATTGGGTTACAGGAAAAAGCACCGTCAAGATCAGAAGCTCGATTTTATTCAAAGTCAGTGTGTATATTACACCTTTAGATAAGCCATTGTTCATGAAATGTAAGAAAATTATGTTGAATTAATAATTAATATAATATTATGTAATAATAATAATTCCAAATTTCGATTTTGACCTGAGCAAAATAAAATAAAATTCAACTTTTGGCGTCAAATTCTGAATTTGGTCAGTCAAAGTTAGAATTCCAGTTTTAGCCAGCCAAATTCGCAATTTTCCATATGTAGGCATCTGAACTCTAAGTTTGGCCGACCAAATTCGCAATTTAGCCGAAATTCCAAGTTTGGCCACAACATATACGTTGAACTAACACACACACATATGTCTCAGCCAACTTATTAAACTAAACTGTAAACAGAAATTCAGTGTCAAAATGTATCAAGGAAAAATAACCCACAAACACGTGTCGAGATATAGAAAACAATTTTAGAATAGAAGGGATGCCTTTTTAATTAAAGTTATTTTAATTAGTTACCTTGTGAGAAAACGAAGAAAATTTCTAATGAATCGGTTTCCTTTCGTTGAAAAGAAAATATCCTCATAATGTGGTAAAACCGATTATTTGATTTGAAAACAGATATATAAATACATATAGATGTGTAACTGATATTTATAAATAGAAAAAATACAGTTCAGCTTTAAATTATGTTGGATTGTGTACCTAATAATAAAAAATGGATATTTGTTCTATTCTGTACATAGAAATGCATCCGATTTCTTTCATTCAGCAAAACAAGAGAAAGAAAGGACAAAAGAATGATATTGATTTACATGTACGGGTAGACTTATTTTTGACACCTTTCATAATAGCCTGTTTTATTCGAACATGAGTGCTATGCAGGTTAGATAAACAACTTAATCGGTGGAGAAGACTTATGTATAAGGATACTATACCTCCGTACAGTTATATGTAGGAAACATAAGTAAATTGCCTTTTCTCAATGTAGGACGATCATGTGTCAAATGGAGCAATGAAGATCTGGAGAGTGCAGAAATCCTATGCATGATTTTCCATAGATATTTTAAAGACGCCACGATTCTGTCTACCGCGGTCGACTATCTAGTAATTCTAATTGTGTCCTACTTGCAGCAGTAGATGCAGATGAACAGAAGTCACTAAATATTATTCTGTTCGCTAGTTTTACAGCTTGAAGTTGTCCTAAATGGGATTTATACGATGAGTTAAAGACTGAGGATCTTGCATCGTACTCGTCTTTTCCCCATAAATCAAATGTTCTCCTCCTTTTTCTCCTTTCTGGTAAAAAATGGACTAAGTTGGCTGGTATTAGAACAACGTTTGTTCCAAGAGCCTTCTTAAACGCTTAGCCATCATACGTTGATTATTATCTTTGACAGAAACTTAGTACTGTCTGTTCTTGAAGTGATGGTTAAATGTTAACTGGATCCATATTAGACTATAAGTATTTTGTGGGCGATATGCACTTTTCATTGCTTGCCGAGTCATTAGCAGTACTCTATTTCGTATATGTATTGTCCGATTTTCTAGATCTCTCTTATCTTCTTAGCAAGATTGTTATTCCAGCCTTTCGCACATCTCACATCAAGGCTAAGATAAGCAAAAGCGTTTTACTCAAATTTAAGAAAGACGTACAGTTCAAAGTTTATCGCTGCGTCTCCCATAATAACCTGTTTTATTCGAACATGAGTGCTATGCAGGTTAGATAAACAACTTACCCCTAATCACTGGAGAAGGCTTATGTATAAGGATACTACACCTCCTTAACATTATGGTGATTGACTAGATACAGTCTTTTATTTTCAGGAAATACAAGCCGTTTCAAATGTAAGTGCAAATTGAGTGGTACTTGGGGTAGATCAATATATAATATTGCCGAATGCCATATCAATACTGTGACAAATAATCCCAGAATCATATCGACAGAGTAGTGGTGCAGGTCGAGGACTGCCATCACGATGCGTTGTGATATGTGGAACC